CTAAAAGTGATTAAAGGGGACTAGTCTGCTCAGTATGCAGACATGTGATGAAATACACTGCACCATTCTAGAGACTTCAAATTTTCCAAATGAAACTAGAGTTGTGAATTTCTAAGACTTTCAAAGATATTTTATAGGCTTTTAAGTATTCCTAGAATGATTAGACTTAAGCCTCAAACCCCCCAGGAAGCACACAAGAGATTCATAGAATCATAGAAACATCAAGGTTGCAAAGGACCTTAAGATCATCAAGTCCAACCTACAGCCCTACACCACCCTAACACTAAACCATCTCCTGAAGTGCCACATCCAGCTGTTTTTTAAATATCTCTGGGAATGGTGACTCCACCACCTCCCTTGGCAATTCCTTTCAATACTTTATCCTTACAAGACATCTAAAAATAATATATTTTTGGTATTTGCCTTATCGCTTCTTCTTTCAGAGCACTACTTCAAATAAGTGGATTTGGGGTGTGGTGTACAGGCGTAATTCTGGGTGTCATAGCAATGGCCTTGAGCAACACTTCAGGTTTTTGATTGTCATTTTCAATTTTCCCATATCACTACAGAAGGAAAGAGAAAATAAAAATAATTCTATCACATGAATTATGTATTAGTGTACTACTAGCTAATTCAAGATACATGTAAACAATGCCTTCCTTATTTTACGTTCTGAGGAACTGAGTTTACAAAGGAAACCACATTCTATAAAGCACTCTGTTAAACCAGAGGAAGAATTTTGCCTTTTCGATTTCCAAATGGACTGTGTTACTGCTTTGTTTGAACAAGTTAAAACTGCTAATAGTTTAAATTCCACAGAAACTCGCACAATCACTGTCTTTTGCTTTGATTTACATCATTATGTCCAAATGGACAGGGATCTGGTAATGGAACAAGAATTTGTGCAATAGCTTACTGTCTCAAAAGCATATGTATAAGCCAACGCTTTTGGGATGTGACATTACCTTTTAAGACATTTTAATCCTAAAAAAGAAAACTAAAAATTGCATTTTCAATGTCTTGGTGATTCTTGTGCAAAAATACTACTAGTCACCAAAATCCAGTATTTTGACATGACATACATTCACAAAATAGTTTCCTGTAGGCATCAAAACTTCCTAGATGTCTTTGGATCCAGCACCACAGTCTGATTAAAATTATGAACCAAATATGCCATCTCAACTGTCTCTGTGCACACCCTTGGCCTGCAGCAAAGGCACAATAACATGACTTAACCTCCTCTCATAGCAAGTTAAGCATCCCCTTAGCTTGTGAACTAGAGAGACATTCAGGCCTAGCTGATGTGTTGTCACTAGATTTACTGAACTAACTTTGTTTGTACTGGAACCCTAAACATCTGCCACTGGGCATGTGAACACGTGCACAGGTTTGACAGCTGTGTTCATCAGCTGAAAGTCCTTTAAGTGTCTGCATGGTATTCAATTCCTCACAAGGTGGACATACTCATACATCTGGTCCCACTAAAGACAGTCATCATGCAGGTTGTGGTGCTATCTTTTTAAGTCCAGCATTTAGTCAATAACAATGAGGTTACTTCTCAGGAAAATACTTCTGTGGTTCATTCCAGGAAATATTCACAGCTGAATGCAGAGAGATGTGCCCTTGTCACTGGGAGTGAGGTACGTCGCTTGTTTACAGACATAGCTGAAGAAATATCCTGGATCCTCCTTAAATTTTTCATTCCCCTCCTTGTTCTATTCTTTACAGTATTTTTTAAAAGTGCTAAAATTCAGAATTGTGAAGAGGTCATGTTCTGTACTTGATTTCAGTAAGGCTTTTGACACTGTCTCTCAGAACATCCTCACAGAAAAACTGACCGAGTACAGGTTAGGTAATTGCACAGTGAGGTGAACTGAAAACTGGCTGAATGGCCAGGCCCAGAAGGTTGTGATCAGCAGCACAAGTCTGGCTGGAGGCAAGACACTACTGATGTACCCCAGAGGTTAATGTTGGGGCTAATACTGTTTAACGTCTTCATCAGTGACCAAAATAATGGATCAGAGTGCTCCCTCAGCAAGTTCACAGATAATACAAAGCTGGGAGGAGTGGCCAATACACAAGATGTTTATACTGCCATTCAGAGGTGCCTGGATGGGCTGGAGAATTCCTAAGATCAATAAGGATAAATGAAAAGCTCGACATCTGGGAAGGAATACTGCAAGACACCAGGACATGCTGGAGGCTGACTGGCTGGAGAACAGCTCTGCAGAGAAGGACCTGAGGGTCCTGATGGACAACAAGTTGATGAGAAGAGAGAAACATCTCACAGCACAGGCAGACTCCTGGGAGTCTGAGCACTGCCAGCATGTGGAGAAAGCTGATCTGTTCCCTAAACACAACACTGGAGTACTGCATCCACAAGAAAGAGATGGGTTTACTGGAGTGAGTCCTGCAAAAGGCCGCAAAGATGATGAAGGGATTGGAGCATCTCTCACACGAAAAGAGACTAAGAGAGCCTGGACTGTTTAGTCTGGACAAGAGAAGGCTCAGGGGGATTTTGTTCATGTGTATAAATACTTGACGCATGGAAATTAAGAAGTCAGTGCCAGTCTCTTCTCAGTGGTGCCCAGACACAAGACAAGAGGCAAAAATTAAAACCCACAAAATTTCATCTGAACAGTAAACCACTGTTTTACTGTAAAACTAGACAAACACATCGCTCTGAGAAGTTGTGGAGTCCTCATGTACAAAGACATTCAAAACCTGACTGGACATGGTCCAGGGCAACCTGCTCTAGCTGACCCTGTCTGAGCAGTGAGGCTTGAGCTAGATGGTCTCAGCAGGTCTCTTCCAACCTCAACCACTCTGTATTACTCTGTGTGAAAGAGGAAAAATTACTAGTGTGCTTTATGATAATACACAGGCCTACTTATTAATTTCAAATGGGCATTTCTGATGCTTGGAAGAAGCACGAAAGTGAACAATGAAAACCATCATGCCTGGACATGCCTGGTCCACTTGCTTGCACATGTTTCAGCATTACTTCCACACAGGTGCTAGACCTTTTGTCTCCAAGAGCAGCAAAGCTCTACCTATTCTACTGCATTAGTTTCTGTTCTTTAGCAATCTTGTTTCATTTTTCTTGCCTAAAAACCTAACAGACAAGTGCAGAAAAATAAGTCCTTCTTTTCTATGTAAATTGGATATGCCAAGGTCACAATCAGAGCATCTTGTTCTCAACTCTTTATATGAATTCAACTCCTGCAATCTGCACTCTTTAAAATCCAAGTTAATGTTAGTAGTTACAAATGCAGTTTGCTCACACTTGAATGTTAAACATCAAACATCAGTATGATTCTTTTTTTTCCCTTGTAACTGCTGGACAGGGACACATCTAATAAATAATTCATTTCATGGTTATGCTAATGATATAATTTATTTCTGAAGATAGAAGAACTCCCAACAAATAAAAACTTGCTTAAAAAAGAAATATATTAGTCTTATCTTGGCAGCTTTTCCTGGATCTCCTGTCAGACTAATGTTCCACATGATAAAAGCAGAGTTCAGTTTTCCTTTGCTTTCTGTCTCTTTTCTTCCTCTATATAAAAATACCAATCCCTTTTTATACCTCTTTCTGTTCCTCTTTATGTACTAACAACGGTCTCACCTCCGTTCATTCCTTTCGACACAGCCTTTGACTATTTTCTGCTGTAATTTTTCACCCTGACTCTTGCAGTTTTCTGTTCTGGATGTCTCCACCTTGCAGCTTGTGACATTCTCCATTTCAGTTCTAACATTGTGTTCCTGTCACCCTGCATTGCAAACACACCCCAAGGGCCTTGGCAGCTTCCCTTAGGCTTTTCCCATTATAGGCCCACTTTAGGGTGTGCTGCTGAAATTAGTGATGTTTTTGGCCATGGACTTTGAGGAGCTTGGGAATTTGTATCCAATATACTACTTCTGAAAGTACTTTCATTGCATGATCAGAATTTCCTCTTCATTTTCTGATCACCACATGCTCTCCTTTTCTGCAGTCAAATGTCCAATGTGTTTACATGACCATCTAACCAATAAACACCTTGACATGAATACAGTCCCAAAATAGAGGCTTTGTGGAGATGAAAGAGGACAACACAGTGACAAATGTATGCTGATTCATTGTAGGAGGCTAAAAGAAAACAGTCACAAACCTTATTTTCTCAATAAAGGCTTAAAGAATAAGACAAGTTTGTATGGTTTGCTTTAATTCTTTTTCTTTTCTCTGCCCCAAGAAAGGCTATTTGACATTCAGTTCTGTCTCTTTGCTTTGGGATTGCTTTGGCAAATTTTTCCGAATCTTTCCTTCTGGGTAAGCTGTTAGCAAACTTTACCATGCCATGACCGTGGGGCTCCAGCCAAGAGCTTGCTTCCTCAGGAAAAGGGAAGCTTTGCTCTTCTTTCCATAAGCCCTTTCTAGCCACAGAGTCTCCCTCCCTATCTCTCGCACTTCCCCAAAACTTCTTTGAACTAAGCATACCAAACAGATTTTTTTTTCCCAATTTACAGTTTTCTGTAAGGTCAGTGAATTCACCAGAGCTCATGTAAGGCACCTCATAGGAGTTTGTTGAGACCAGGCAACTGTATGTGAGGAATCTCTTCTTTTCCTGACAGTAAGCTATGAAATTAGCTCTCCCTTTCCTGTGCAATGGCAGCATGAGACTACTTACAATAGTTAACTCTGTCCCTCAGAATACACAGCTGCAGTTTTGGGCTTACAATTTGCAATTGTTTAACGCACAAAAAACCCCCCACTCCTGAAAACAAGGAGAAAGAGATCCAAGGATCCATAAACATTATTATCTCGCAGCTCTTTATAACTTAATCACCGGATAATGGTGCTAATCTTTCCAAATCCATTCTCATTATATATAGAAAACTTAATGTATGCAAACTATACTTCTCATTATAGAGTTCCATCAAAATGTTTTTAAAGGTTATTTCTTTTAGAAAGAAAGCTAAACCATAATGATAATCAGCTAGAAGTATATTTCCAGACATACCTGTGATCATACTTGATATGATTAATGGCAGAATGATAAGTTTGAGCATTCTCATCAGCACTTCCCCAGGAAAGGAAAAGTAGAATTTATCCAAGTTAGACAGTTTGCCATATTCCCGTACCAGCATGCCGACTCCAATACCTAAAAGGCATACAAAAAAGTGACACAAATTAATACTAATTTATTGTAGAGAAATGAGGTAAAAAGAGGAAAATCAGGAGATGAACAGTAAAACAAAGAGTGACCAATGGACACATTGACACCCATAGTGGAACTTCTAAAGCAAAGTAGAGAAGAGAGATCCTATAGGGGGCCAGTTAGCTCAGTTGGTTAGAGCGTGGTTCTGATAACACCAAGGTCGTGGGTTCGGTCCCCATGTGTTTCCTGATCTATGTGAGAGGCATCCTTGCCCATGACAGGGAGGTTGGATTAAATGATCTCTAAGGTCCCTTCCAGCCTAGGACATTCTATGATTCTATGATACTGTGCTTTATACTGATGATAGGCGCAGTAATAACACACACAGTTCTGAGGTTGGAGGATGTCTTTAGCTCCATCTTTGGAAGAAACTTGATTATGCCCTCTGATTATCAGTCCAGATCCACAGTGACTTTTTACCTGCTTTCATTAGCTCTAGAAGACCCATAACTGGCATTAATGTTTAGTAGTGTTTCTATATTATATTGATTTATTTTGTTTAAAGAAAGTCATATATTTTATCTACTTGTATTGGTGAAAAAACATCTACCCAGCATCAATACTTGCAATAATTGTTGCTCTACATAATTAGGAAAGAGTTACTACAATCACTGGAACAGCTTAATAATTTCCAGGAAATTGATCAACACTCAGTTTATTTCACGTTCATTCCACAACATGACCAATCTAGAAAATACCAGACTGTAAATTCAATCAGTGCACAAGACACCTTCATACTTCCTCTTTATCTTTAGATCAAATGAATTATCAGATAGTTCTAGCTTCTGAGACAAGTCACAGGTAAGAGTTCTACGAAAAGAAAAGAAATTGTAGGCCAAAAGACAAATTTCTTCTGTTTGACAAACAACACCTTTATTTTCCATCTCAACACAATTTTCGCATGAAAATCACTGGTACAGGAAAAGTGTTCACCAGTATTTAGAAAACACTATGACTGCTGTTTAACATACGATCATTTGATAAGCTTCATTCCTGGCTAAACTGAGTATCAAGAGATCCAACTTCTAACTGGATTTATTGAGAGACAGCAGCTCTTCATTATCCACTGAGTGCTGAAAGGTACTGTTCACAGGAATAGCTTCACTGAAGTTACAGGAGTTATTTACAACGCTTGGTATTTAGTGACATCACTTGTGTGTATTTTGCAGCAGAACTGTTACAACAGCACAAGAAGGTGCTACCAGCTTACCTTTACCTGCCTCATGTAAACTTGCAGTGTCCCAGCAAACCTGCTAATGCCCAAGCCAAATGCACCTTTCCATCAGTTTAATTATTGAGGCATTTAAGTCAGGAAGCTGGTGTAAAGTTTGACTAAACAGGCTTATAGGATATGCTCTTTCTTGAAGTCATGGAGACAGACAACACCAGCAGGTTCAATAACAGATCTAGGCAAATCCAGACAACATGTCCATACTGCTGATAGCGAAGGAAAGAGATGGGGATCCCACATACAATTCTCTACTAAACTAGAAGCTCATTAACATTGTCTTATAGAAAGTAAGGATTTTTTTCAAAAATCCTCCTTAAAGATTTACTATGGCTGTGGCTTATGCTAATTCACACACTATGTAGACATGAGTTGATGCAGAAATGTAAACTACTAGTTACTTTCACAGAATTTGCCTCCAAGAGCACAAAAATATGATGAATTATCTTTTCTGTGCTCAATCTGCATCTGCAAAAACAAGATGAAAGAAAACAGAGGCAGATTATAAACCCCTATCAAGTCTTTCCTGTTAATAAAGAGATGGAAAATGAACACGTTAAGCTTTCAGACAAACAGGCTGCTCTAAGCAACTCTTAAGATTTCTGATTTGGGTGTCATCTGTGCGAGCAAACATGGACAGTTTAAATCCCTTGCAATAATCTTGAACATTAATAGCCTTGAAGATATTAGAAACATTATGTAGATGTGCTTGATCAGTGCAAATGATAAGACACTATGATATCTGTTCCTCATCTAGTGACTGAACTGAGATGAAAATAATCAGTCTGCACTTCAAGATAAGCCCAAGCAAGATAATATTGTATGCAAAAGTTACATATATTAAAGTAAATTGCTTAAGTTTCAATACTGAAAACACTAGTGTAAACAGCTGAATCTAAGCATATCAGTAATCATGTCTCCAGACTACTCACATAACTTAGGGTAGGTATATGCTTCAACTGCAGCAAGACTAGACTGTATGGTTATTAAAAGTTGTGTAATGCCACTTAACTTTGAGGAGGTGTGACTAGGACATGTTCTAACTATATGACTTTTATTATAGGTGGTGTCTGACCAGCTGGGAAGTTTGATCGTCACACATTTAGGAGGATTACTAGCAAGTAATCCTCATTTTCATTCTTTGGCATTCTCTTTTCCACTTCTTTAGATTTCACTACAAAAAATTCACACATGTTCTCAAAATTTTAGAAGGTTTTCCTTAAGCTTTTTCATTTACATATTTATATTTGTTTACTTTTTCTAATGAGGATATTATTTACCTAGTGACAGTAACTGAGAACAGACTCTCTACTCTGACAATCTCTTGAAATTACGTTACTGCTCTCACCTCCTTGTTTCTGCTATTATTTTAATACATAGAGCACTTATATCCATATTAAATTGTGCAGCACACCAAAACGCAGTAAAATGCAGCTGCCTTTTAACTGGAGCTAGCATCTAGCATATGCTATTTGAATTTAGGATGGGAGTATAAGAAAAAATTTTGTTTTGTAACAGTAACAAGAGGTTAGAAAGTTAGCAGAATAAATATATAGAACGTTTTGATCCCTGTCTCAATAATCAAGTTTGGCTGAAATTTTCTTCCTGGGAATTATAATGTACAGAAAGTGTGGCCCAGCATAAACATACTTCACATGGTCGCCAGTGCTTTTATCATCACATTGATTACAGCAGCCCTACACAAGTGTGGATGCTATTAATACACCACCATCTCCAAAACTAATTCTTTCATGTGTCACTACTTCTAACATTTGCAAAACACCCTACAGTAAGCAAAGCCTCTGCAATATATAACAGGATCTATATTTCCCTTTAATTTGTCTCTTTTTCAGTTATGGAATAATTTACTCTGATTTTTGTTGTTGGTTGGTTTTTTTTAAAAAAAGAGCAAAACAACACCTTTCCTGCCTGCCCTCTTCCTCCTTCCCCAGTTTCAATCACTCCACCTTTCTTTTTGTCCATGCTAAACTGTTTTTTCTTTCTTTTCCACCCTCTTTCCTTGCTTTTTCTTCTCTTCCACATGGCTAAGATATGATTTTTACCACAAGAGCAATCCTCTTACAATTTACAGCTCAATTGCATATACTGCTTAAGGTCCAGATTTCTGCAATACTGGGCAGAAGGGAAGAATGAAGGTGGAAAAAAACACTACAATCCCACTGATTTAATTTTCTAAGGCAAATATCTCCTCCAACTGTGCACAGTACAGCACATGCTGTACAGTATGGTGTCTACGTTATCCCTCCCAGCAGCCACCATCACGTAATGCAAAAGGTGTAGTCTGAGTCCCTGGAACTGCAATGCATGAAGAGGCCACTGGACAATTCTCTTGTCAGAACCCACATAAAACAATACATGCCCTGACTCCCTAGCAGAATTCTCCACGGTAGCATATAGTCTTTTTACAAGCTTTGTAACAGAGAGAAAATCCTTCAAAAAAAAGACCGTAAGTACAGACTAAGAGAAATGACAGGTGTGGGTGACAACAGAAGAAAAGACCAAACAAACAAAAAAGCCCCTAAAACAACCAAACCCCGAAGTGGAAGAAAGCTGCTGAAAATGAGTATACTAAGAAAAATTTCTCCATCTTTGAGGTAGTCCCAAAAAGCATGCTTCCTCTGTGTGGGATGACTCATCTTTTGTTGGCTTATCCAGAGAAAGAGGGGCAGGCAGCACTGCAAGGGGACAGCACCTGCAACTGGCTGCACTGCATGTAGCACTCAATCCATCACATTTGCCAAGCCTGAGGCTTTCCATGGCCTAGGAGATGACAGCTGTGTGCAACAAGGTGGCAGAACCAGTCTGGTCTGTGTACGTGTGTGCCGTGAGCAAACCACAGAAACTGAGTCAAACTGTGTCCTGAGAGACCATTATGTTGTATGTTCTGCACATTTGCAGAGCTAGCTCTGTGATACTTGGGTATCTGATACTTGGGTATCATCACAATCTGCTCTATATCTAAAATGTGTCTTTTTGCACATTGCTATTGTTTCCGAAATGTTGTCTAAGGAAAAAGGCACATTACTTGCCTGGAAACAACTACAGGGTTGCTACATTTTTCCTCAAGTATTGTGCTGCAATTCCTGACACAGACTTGGAAATGAGTAAGAGAAGAAATACACGTCTTGTTTAAACAAATTCCATAATCTCTGGGCTCATCTCTGCTAGTACATGTGGGGAGTGCCACAGATGGTCCTGTAGCTACTGTAAACTTGTAAAAATGCACTGCCTTCTCAGCAGCCACTTTAGCAACCAAGATTGTTCACAGTCTTTCAGAAAGTGATGCCTAAACGCTGAAGCCTTTTTTGTACAATTAGGTAGGGTCAACGCAATTCAGATCTTGAATTTGAAAACTCAAAACCTGAGTAGCTGAATCTGCACATGACATCCAGTATAATGTGCCTGTAGGTACTTGTTTTACATCATTACCACTGTGGGTTAAGATGTTCTTCAGAACCTGATAACAACTTCAATAACAAGATGGCATAATACTGTGCAGCTTTACTTTCTTTACCTTCATTCACAGGTAAGACAACTCATTATTTAGGAACAAATTACTGAAGTCCACAAACAGACATGCATAGACAGCCCCATTTCACACTGAAAGAGAATATAAATGAGATAAAATTGCTGTGTAACGGGTAGGACTCCCTAACACGTTAATTATACTTATGGATGACATCACCAATACGCACTGTGTCAATTGTGTGCACTGTGTCAACTGGTAGAGAGTTCTCATTCTTTCAGTGCGTTTGACACCACAGAAAGACCACACCACCTTCAGCTCCCACTGATTTTATTATGCAAGTGATCCCTAGAAATAAATCATAAAGACAATGAGGATAGAAATTCAGCATATATTTCTGGAGAATAAATACTCTGTTTTGTTAAATGATCTGATTTACACTATGCTCCTCTCAGAAAAAAAGTTATATGAAAACAGGAACAATACAAACAATTCCAGAATGCAGAAATTCCCTTTCCTTGGAGCACAGTTAGTGACCATGGAGGATACTGATAGACATTGCAGGGATTATAGGAATTTTGCTTTGATTTGGCATTAAAAGAAAAAAAAAATTGGGCACATGTTGTGGTTCGAACCTGATATTATTTAATTATACTGTAGCGTGGATTGTGTATCAACAAGGGGATTAAGCTCTTGTAATTTCACATGATATGCTGTTCATGTGACAGAATAAAATACAATTAATTAGATTATTTTTGCAGTAGATGATTCGTGGGACTGAAAAGGCTGACTTGATCACTTGATCACTGACTTGATTTGAAACACAGTACAAAATATTCAATATACACACCAAATTGCAGCAGAGGCAGACCAGATTTTGCGGTCTAGGTCCTTTAGTAATATTTTATAAAATCCACTTTGCTTCTGCTCTCTCTAGAGTTTTTGTATCACTAGCTGTGTGTCAACTACAGAAGGCCAAAATAGCGTGTGTAGAAGAAATTATTACCTAAAATAACACTTACAGAACTACTATTTCAGGATATTAATTAAGCTCTCTTTGCATTATTTTTTAATATTTTCTAATGTTCACACTCT